GTGAGGGTGGTATAGGCGCAGTCCCTGGAGCTGCCCCACCGTCTAACCTCTCCTGCTCCGGGGCCTGGCAGAATGTCATCAGCACCTTTACCCAGACAGCCCGCTCGGACCGTTGTGCCTTCCATGGCAACGTGGTGGTGGGCAGGGACGTGACTGTGCTGGAGCTGCAAAAGGCCTACCATGCTGTGGTGCTGGTGAGTGCAGGCAGGGGGCCGGGCCGGGGAGGCAGGGCCTGGGGGCTGGGCAGCAGCAGCAGGTTGATGGCTGGGGGATGGAGGGCAGTAGGGGTGAGGCCCAAACCACAGGCATGGGCCAGCGTGGAGGCTATGGAGGAGCTGGAAGGAGGCCACTGGGAGCCCTGCAAGGGCTGCCTGGCTCCTTAGCTGGTGCTGAGGGCTCCGGGTCTTTCCTCAGAGCTATGGGGCGGAGGACCATCGGGCCCTGGAGATTCCTGGTGAGGAGCTGCCCGGTGTGTTCTCAGCCCGGGCCTTTGTGGGCTGGTACAATGGGCTTCCTGAGAACCAGGAGGTGAGTTTGGGGAGCACTTCAGCTGCCTCTTCCTCCCACCCCTCAGCTGCATCCAGGGGCAGCCCTTGGACACCACAGCTGGGGGAAGAGGGAGCCACCATCCAGGACTGAGTGGCTCCCAGTGGGATGAGATGTGGGATGTTAGGTAAATCACAGGGAGGTCAATCATGGAAGACCTCCGGGAAGAGGTGGGGCCAGATCGGGGAGGAGGGCCTTGAGTTGAGGCTCAGGTGGGGTGGGCTTTCTGAGTGTGGGGATGAGCCATGAGACTGAGACTGACCAGAGCCAGGACCAGGGACCCTATCCAGACCTCACCCCTCCAGCTGGCTCCAGACCTGAGCTGCGACACAGCCGTGATTCTAGGGCAGGGGAATGTGGCTCTGGACATGGCCCGGATCCTCCTGACCCCCCCGGAGCATCTGGAGGTAAGTAGGTAGGTCAGGGGCCGGAGGGGTGGAGATGGGGTCACAGTGAGGAGAGGGTACTCTTGCCTTCAGAGGTCAGGCCCCATTCCTCCAAACTGAACTCAGTGCCTCTGTTTCCCCATGGAGTCAGGCAGAGGCTTTTGGAAGTCTGCAATCTTCATCTCATACCATTTTCCCCTTCACTTTTTGCATGTCAGCTACACAGGCCTTAAAAAAAAACATACTCAGTGTACACACACCACTCCCCCTGCTTGAAACATTCCCAGCTCAACTTCTGCCAGTCAACCTGTAGTCATCTTTCAGTTCCTGTCTCAGTTCCCTTCCTCCAGAAAGCCTTCCAGGACCACCCCAAATAGGTCCATTTCCCTGTAATACTTTCATCTCATAGACTTGTCTACTTCTGTTTCAAAGCATGTTTGTCATCGCAGCAATTTTATACTTATTGATAAATATTTGATAAGAATCTCTCTCTCTCCACCAGATCAGAAGCTCTGTGAGGGCCAGCACCATGTCTGTTTTGTTCACCACTGATAGCCCCCAATGCCCCTCGCATTGTGCATGGTGCATGGTAAACACTGAGTAAACACTTGTTGGATGAAAGAGCGTGGGCCTGGTTTGCTACTACTAGTTGGAGCCATTTGTAGAATTGGTGGCAGTGCATCATCTGGCCACCAGTTGGGCTGGGGCAGTGGTGCAGTTTCAGGCTGCCAACCTTCTCACTGCTGAGGGTAGGGACCTGAGCAAATAGGGCTGTGCGCATATACCCCCACCCCACCAGCAGTGTCCGATGACTTAAAGGCCCTCCTTTCGTGCCAGAAAACGGACATCACAGAGGCTTCCCTGAGGGCACTGAGACAGAGTCGGGTGAAGACGGTATGGATAGTGGGCCGACGTGGACCCTTGCAAGCAGCCTTCACTATTAAGGTGCTGGGGCCAGAGGGAGAGGGGCCAGGGTCCCAAATAGATGATCTGCCCTGGGGAGGTATGGCAAGACAGAGCCCCCTGGGAGTGGCCGCCTCCTGGAGTGAAACAGGAAAATACAGTGCCTCTGTGGTGGGTGGTGGTGGCTCCCACCTGGACTGGGCTTTTGGGTGGGCTCAGGAGTAGCCAGTGCTCTGGGCCTGACCTCCTCTCCCACTCCCCATCCCCAAGGAGCTTCGGGAGATGATTCAGTTACCAGGAACCCGGCCTATTTTGGATCCTGCGGATTTCTTGGGCCTCCAGGACAGAATTAAGGGTGAGGGGCCCTGGCCTGGCCCCCTGGCTCACTAGGGAGGGGACTGTCTAGATCAGAGAGGGCTTGGGGGTGGGCGCTGGAGGACAGGGCTATAAGCCAGGGCTAGGGCCAGCCGTGAGATGTTCTGCATTGCCGACAGACCTCCCCCGCCCAAGGAAGCGGCTGACAGAACTGCTGCTTCGAACAGCTGTGGAGAAGCCAGGGGTGGAGGAGGCTGCCCGCCAGGCATTGGCCCCCCACTCCTGGGGCCTCCGCTTTTTCCGAAGCCCCCAGCAGGTGCTGCCATCACCTGACGGGCGGCAGGCAGCAGGCATCCGCCTGGCAGTCACCAGGCTGGAGGTGAGTCTCGAATTATGCAAAGTCAGCCCCGTTCGCAAGTCCCCCCACCCCAGCCTGATGTTACCTACATCTTCCCAACAGGGTTTCGGTGAGGCTGCCAAGGCTGTGCCCACTGGAGACACGGAGGACCTTGCTTGTGGGCTGGTGCTGAGCAGTGTTGGGTATAAGAGCCGCCTCATTGACCCCACTGTGCCCTTTGACCCCAAACTTGGGGTTATCCCCAATGTGGAGGGCCGAGTTGTGGATATGCCAGGTGAGAGAATGGCAGAAGGCTAGAAAGCAAACGGTGGGGGGATGGGGAAACTGGTGCTGTCTCCTGGGGCCGTCCATTCATTCCTCCAGTGACATGCTCTGAGCCAGGCCCCGGCCCCGGCCCTATCCTGGGACCCACTCCCATCCTCCTGGCCATAGCAGGGAGGGGAGTTCCCAGTCTAGCTGACATGCCCACTTCTGTTTGGTTTTTAAGTTATTCAGTTTACTGAGGCTTTCTCTAGGCTAGGCCCTGACTTGGTGCTGGGATTGGAGATTGAAGAGTAGCTCTTGTCCTCAGGGAGCTTACGATCTGATTAAATAAATGTCCACATACCTGTCTACTCAGTAATTCATTCAGTTAATGTTTACCAAGGGCATGGTGAAGTGGGCAAGACCCAGGTCCTCCCCTCGGAGCTCCTTGTCTACAGGGAGGCTGGGATGTAAGGGAGGGCAGTGGTAAGAGCTGGTGGAGAATCCTGGGCAGTGGGCTCAGCTGATGGTCACTGCTGGGAGGACTTGCAGTGTGGAGATGCATGCGCATGTTTATATACTGGGGTTCAGGTTTGCCAGGAATGTCCAGCCACCTCCCCTTTCCTTACCCCTTTGTTACCCACTCCCAGGCCTCTACTGCAGTGGCTGGGTGAAGCGGGGGCCTACAGGTGTCATTGCCACTACCATGACTGACAGCTTCCTCACTGGCCAGACGCTGCTGCAGGACCTAAAGGCTGGGCTGCTGTCATCTGACCCCAAGCCTGGTTACACGGCCATTGAGGCCCTGCTCAGCAGCCGAGGTCTGGGCCCCATGTGAGCTCCTGGGCCATGGGGTGGGCAGCCCCCTGGGCCTTTCTGCTGTTTGGGAGAGGGTGTCCTAGGCTGGGGGTGGAAGAGGAGATGGAGGCAGTGACTCATCTTCCCTCTGCCACAGGGGTCTGGCCTGTGTCATTCTCGGACTGGGAGAAGCTTGATGCTGAGGAGGTGTCCCGAGGCCAGTGCGCTGGGAAGCCCAGGGAGAAGCTGCTGGATCCTCAGGAGATGCTGCGTCTGCTGGGCCGCTGACCCCAGACCCCAGACCGGCAGGGGCTGGAGGAGTGCTGTGTAGGGGAGAGGAGCCCAGGTCAGCCTGGGTAGGACTGTGCGCCACAGCTGCACTGCCTGCCCTGCCTGGCATGGGACCTTGGCTGCCTCTTCCAGGTGCCTCTGAGTACTTTCTCCTGCCAGACAGAAGGTCGCTCTTGCCAGTGTGGGTTTAACTCTGTTAGGACGGCTTGGAGGTGCAGGCTGACCTTCCTCCCACCCACCTCTCTCCAGCTGGACTGTGGAGGGTCAGCAGGTCGTACATATGCTGGAAATAAAACAGCTGCAACAGGCGGCCAGCGGTTGATGTGTCATTTCTTTTGGGGCTCAGGGTCACCTTCCAGCCGCAGGTCCCTTCGTGTCACCAGGTGGCGCCGAAGAGCCAGCTCCAGCTCTGGGGCCTTTGCGGGGGCTTGAGGGGATTTGGCAGCCCCGCCTGGCACCCACCCTCACTGTCTGGGCTTGGCCCCACTGCTGCAGCCTGCCTGCCTTCTGCCCTCACTGCAGGCACCCTCGGACCCAAGCCTGCCGGTTCTGCTGGCCCCATGAGGCCAGCCTTTCCCTGGTTAGGCCCCAGTACAGCCAAAACAAGAAAAGGGAAAAAGTGGGAGCCACGGGCAGAGGCGGCAGCTTGCCCTAGTCCCTCTGGCCGGGATCATCTGGCTGGGTTCCCCATCTCTGCCCACTCCCAAAGCCTTCCTGCCTCCGCAGTTTCCAGCCAGATCGACCAGCCTTTGAAAAACAGCACCTCAATCCCCATAGCGCTTTGCAGTTTACAAAGCGTGTTCAACGTCTTTTATGCCAGTCCCCAAGATGCTGGCCTCACTTCGCAGACTGAGGGATCCTCGAAATTAACTGGCCCAAGGTCACACAGCTAGTGAGCTGTGGGCTCTAACCCAGGGCTCCGGGCAGGCTGCTTTCTCCGAGGCCGCACTTGACCCCTAGAGAGGAGGGAAGGCACCCAGGCGTCCGGCGCGCGGGCCGGCAGGGCGGGGCCCGGAGGAGCGCGGGAGCGGGCGGGGGCGGGGCGGGACCCGGGGGGCGGGCCCGCGCGGGAGGCGGCGAGCGCTCCGCCACACCGGCCGGCCAGCTCGGGGAGCCGGAGGCGCGGCGCGCAGAGCCGGGCGCCGAGCTGGCCACTGGCGGGCGCGGGGGCGGCCAGCCGCCAGGCCGCGCCACAGACACGGCCCCGCGGCGCCCGGGCTCAGACGCCCGCCGAGCGACGACAGCGCGCGGAGCCGGGGCGCCGGGCCATGCTCGGCGCGGGAGGTGGCCGGCGTGGGCTCTCGGCGCGGGCGCAGCGCCCCTTCCCCGCGGTAAGTGGCGGGCGGCGAGCCGGGGCCCAACTTCGCCGCCAAGTTGGGGCTGAGCTCGGGCGCCGCGCGCACAAGGACGGCGGAGACAGGCGCGGACTCCTGGAGAGAGCCCGGCGGGCGCAGGGTGCAGAGGATCCCCGGAGGGAAGGCCGAGGTGACGGGCGCGCGGCGGGCGCTAGGGAAGGACGCGGGCAAGACGTCCCGGACGTTCGCCTCCCGGGGCGCCGAGCCCTCCAGCGCCTTCTCTGCCCCGCGTCGCGGCGCCGTATGGGAGGGTGCGGTGCGCAGACGCGGGAGTCTGGGCTGCGGGGCCCCCCAACTGTTGCTGCTGGCGGCCGCTGGGGCGCGGAGCTGGGCCCGCGGCCGGGAGCTGGGCCCGCGGCCGGGAGCAGGGGCCCGAGAGGGCTCAGGAGCCGGGCCCTTTGCCTCTCCTGGGGCCTCCTGGGCACCTGCTGCGCGCGTTTGCCTTCACGACCCGCCCCACTCCCCGCGTGGGACCCAGCCAGCTGCTTCTCTCGGCTCCTCTTAACGCCCCCTGCTCTGACCTCCTCGATTCAGCGTGGGCTTCGCGGGATGGTGGGATCCGCCTAAATGCTAGCCCCGCGCCCGGCGGGCCCAGGCCCCGAGGATGCTAAAGGAAGGCTGGGCGAGGAGGACCCTGGGGGGCCGTGAGACCCGGTGCTCCAGGCCCTGGCGCAGCGGAGGGTTTCTCTGGTCTCCCCCGGGGCTTTGACCAGGATCCCGCCGTCGAAGGGAAGCCCTGAGCTTCCTGCCGCTGAAGGCGTTTCGTGCCTAGACTAGGTGAGCAGGGAGAGGGACGTCTGAAGGCAAGAATACCCCAAGGGTGCGTCCCACGACCCATCCAGAAGTCCAGCTAGGTGAACGACGCGGGAATTCCCACGGGCCCTGGCGCCCACGCCATTGGTCCACCCTGGTTCCTAGCCCTGCTCACCCCACAGGAGTTCTCTGTCTCTGTCTCCTAGCTCTTCGTTGGTGGCACCACCCTGGTTTGGACCCACTACCCACCACCACGGTGGGGCCACGGGGAAATCGAGGAAAGGAGCCTGTCTGTGGCTCCTGCGCTCTATCTCGGAGCCCGTCTAGTTTCAGGCTGTTCCAGTAGGTTTGAATCGGCTCCTAAACTCCATACGAAGAATTTGAATAGGAACGTGGAGGGGACCAGGTTGGTTGGAAACCAGACTCCTGGGTTCCCCCAGGCCCGAGGTCAAGGCTGCGCTGGTACTGCCCACATCTCCGCCTGCCAGGAGAGCTCCCCGACAGGCGGCCGCCAGCTTGGGGGATTGGGGGTGGGGGCCAAGAAGCCGCGGACGCCCGCAGCGGGTAGCAGAGAAGCAGAAGGCGCAAAGTGCGTGGTGCCCAGTTTGGCCGCCAGGAGGCGTGGCACGGGTCCCCGCTCCCGTAGTCGCCGCCACCGCCGCCGCATCGCGAGTGTCCTTGAGCCGCGGGTGACAGTGGCTCTCGCCGCTTGCGCCCCGTCCTCCCGCGGGGGGAGCCTGATGCCACATTCCCTATGAATTATTTATCGCCGGCCTAAAAATACCCCGAACTTCACAGCCCAAGTGTAAGAGATTCCTGCCAGGGGGAGGGGGCGCCCCGGGGTCCGGGAGGAATCAGCGGGGTGTGTGGGAGTTAGGGAGTTATTCTTGTGGGGGGAGACCTCTGTGCCGGCACCAGTGGGGCAAGATGCAGGGGGCGGTCTTCTCCCCTGACGCTTGGGTTCGGGTTTTAGCTCGGCAAAAGGGAGGGAGGGATAACCGACGGCAAAGGAGAGGCCGCTTTCACGAAGGGCAGTGGATCCAGAGGAGCAGAGCAGCCGGGGTCCCTCTGCTCCCGGGAAGCAGCAAGGCCGCTCAGAAGGGCCGACTCCTGGGACGAAGCCTCCTGGGCTAGGAGGGGGGAGCGAGCCATCAGTGTGTGGAATGCGACAGCGCGTGTGTGCACATCTGTGTGCTGGAGCCTGCCTGAGACTGCGCGAGGGGTGGAGGTGCTCAGGCATTTCAAGGTGATGCTGCTTGTCCTACAGGAGTGATCCCCAACATCCTCCCCTTGGCCTTTTTGATGTTTCATCAAAAGTTAAGAGCCCATTTGCAAAAGGCACAGACCCTAAGGGGAAGGGCAGAGGCCTCTAAAACAACAGTCCAGTGTGTGGCAGGGCCATCACCCAGAAGGCAAATACCCGCCAGGGGGAAAATGAGGCCAGCTGTTGCAGTGTCATGCCAGGAGAGGTAGAGAGGGGAAGTGGCAAGAAGGACACTGTGGCCTAGAGCCCCACGCAGTCCCTGTGTCCTCACCCAGTGTGTCCAGGGCCTGGGTGGACTGAGGCAGGTGCCCTGTGGGAGAGGGATATAGGCTGGACTCTGAAAATTCTGGGATTTTGTCGTGTAGGCAAGAGGGAGGCAGTGGGAAGAGGACATTCCAGCCCCAGGGAACAGCAGTGCAAAGGTCTGGAGACAAGAACAGGGGGCTGTCTGGCTATCAAACTGGCAGGAGAGAGGGGTCCATGGAGGGGAGGACAATTGGTTGGGGTCAGGGTGTGCAGGGCCTATCCGTGGAACCCAGGCGTCTGGACTTCACATGGGCAGCAGGAAGCAGCTGGGCTGCTTGGAGAGGGAGAGGTGTAGCATCTAGAGGGATGGTTTAGGCCAGTGCCACATGTGGGGGTGGAGAGGTGAGAGGCCAGGGGAGGCTAGTGGGGAACAGCATTAGGCCAGGGCTGGGATATGACCCTGCTGCCTTGGGGTCAGGCTGAGGCCACGTGGTGATAAGACTCTGGAGTCTAAATGTTGAATCCGCCCATTGCTATTCGAAACTCAGAGCCTTGCCTGAGCCAGAAGTATTCTGTGTTCATTCCTGATGAGAAACACAACCTACCTCAAATTCCTCTCCTCCTTGGCTCCAATCTAAGAGCACGCCTTCCTATTAGACAGACTCTCTGGGGTTAGTGTCCTTTTGGAGTTAGTGGGGGCGGCGGCTAGGCCCTGCATCTAGAGTCGTGCTATGCAAAAGAAACACAATGTGAACTGCATGTGTGATTTTAAGTTTTCTAGTAGCAACATTAGAAAAAGTAAAAAGAAACAGGTGAAATTAATTCTGATGGTATATTTTGCTTATTTTCATGTATCTAAAATATTATTTCAACATGTAATCAATATGAAAATATTAAGGAGATATTTTGCATTATTTTTTTCATACCACATCTTCGATATCCTGTATGTATTTTACACTTACAGCATCCCTCAGTTCAGATGAGCCATGTTTCACGTGCCCATGGTCACAGGTGACTGGTGGCTGCTGTACTGGAAGCACAGATCTAGAGCTCAGATCTGTGGCAGAGGTTGGGGAGGCTTGGGGCTTCCCAGAGGGCAGGGAGCCTACAGGGATGGGAGGTGTGAGCAGAGATGACCACAGAAAAGCCTTGCCAAAGGAAGAGCAAGCAGGACAGTGCCCTTTGCAGGTGTAACTTGAAATCCTGATTTGTGGTAGCTGAGACATTACGTGGCGTGGCATTGCTTAGTTTCATCCCAGATTCACTCATGTCTCTGGGCCGACACTCTTCGACAGCATACTAGGAAATCATACACAGGGGCAGATTTCAAGGGCATCAACATGACACGGGATTCCCTCCCCTGCCCCAAATCCTGTCTTCTCAGCCTGAAATTAAATGAGGCCCACCCTGGCCAGCCTTTGGCTCTCCCCTATCCAGAATTTTTGTTGGGGATGTGATGGAGATGGAGACGGAGCAGAGCTGTGGCCAATGGCCAGCTGGGAGGGACAGCTACATCAGGGGCACCTCGCACTGGTTGGCTATCATTCACAATCCAAAGCAATGGTATTTATTTAGCAGGGAGACATGGCAGGCCCTTGGGTAGGTTAAAAAAATCTTATGTACCCTCCATAGCCTGGAGAAGCAGCTTGTGTGGAAGGTACTGTGGGGTTTCAGGTGACCCTCTGCCCTGACCAAGTCAGTGGTGTTATACTCCTGCTGTGGAAGAGCTGCTGCTAATGGGAGCCAAGGGGAGAAGGTAGGGAGAGCTGGTGCCCAGCATGAGGGGGCTCTGTGCCATGCAGGACCACGCAGGGCAGAGCCCTGGGGCTGTTAGCTTCAGTTTAGGATGGGGAATCAGGAGCCAGGGCAGAGAGTGTCACAAGAGCTGCCTTCCTGCACCGGCAGTGGGATTGTCACCAACCGGATAAGGACACGATAACAGTGAGTAGCCCCCACACTGCTGTGACTTTGGTTCTGTGATTATCACAGGCTCAGAGAAGCTAGGTAGTTTCCCAAGATCACACAGCTAGTAAGTGGCAGAACTGGGACTTGCACTTAGGTTGGTCTGACTGGAAGCCATGCACTTGGACACCAGACTAACATCTCCAATGTCTCTTTCTAGGGCAGAGTTCAGATAGTTGGGTTTCCAAAGGTCTGGCCTTTCTAGCCAAATGTGCTGTCCAATAGTAGGATGGGGGTAACTGGGCACCACAGTGATGCATGTCCTCCCCAGCCCCTGCCCCTCTGGGATGCTGGGATGCTCGTCTAACCTTGCTGTCTCCTTCTCCGTGTCTGTCGTGTCTATGGCTCTCTCTCTCTCTGCCTCTCCTTGTGGAGGGAGGTCTCCCCTCTTCTTTTTCATCTCCTGGATGTCTGTCCCTCTGACTCTGGCCCTCCCCTCTTGTCTGTCTTGCCTCCCGCCCTGTGCCTACCCTGATCTCTCTGCAGGATCCTCCGGTGGACATGGGTGGGGCCCTGGGGCCGGCCCTGCTGCTCACCTCACTCCTTGGTGCCTGGGCAGAGCTGGGCCCTGGGCAGGGCGAGCAGGCTTTGACGGTGGCCGTGGTGTTTGGCAGCTCGGGGCTGCCACAGGCCCAGGCCCGTATCCGCCTCACCCCTCAGAGCTTCCTGGACCTGCCGCTGGAGATCCAGCCACTCACTGTGGGGGTCAACAATACCAACCCCAGCAGTCTCCTCACCCAGATCTGCGGGGTTCTGGGTGCCACCAGCGTCCATGGCATCGTCTTTGAGGACAACGTGGGCACCGAGGCCGTGGCCCAGATCCTGGACTTCATCTCCTCCCAGACTCACGTGCCAATCCTCAGCATCAGTGGGGGCTCTGCTGTGGTCCTCACTCCCAAGGTGCCTGTGCAAACTCGTGTCCCCTCATCCTTTGGGTCTGGGGCTGGGGAGATGGTGCTGAGTCTGGGCCAGAGAGAGACTTAGGTCCTGGGAAACTGGGGTTGGGTGGGACTAGCAGAGAGGGGATGCTGAGGGTATGATGTGGCTGAGGGAGGAGACTGTGGGAATGACATTCCCGTGTTCTAGAACTAAACCTTTCACAGTTGTGTCTGGGTGAGGTTTGAACAAGTGGCAAGCCCACCTCTGGCTTTGGTGGGCAGCCTTGGCCCACCTCCCTTTCTTGGTCAAGCTCCAGACCCAGGAGTGGAGGGCCAGGCTGGGCATGGGACCGATGTAGTTAACCTGCAGAGGCAGGTCACCATCCAAGGCATGGTGGAGGTGTGCCCTCAGAGAGCTTGCATCTTGTGGGGAGAAAGTTCTAAACCCACATTCAGCTGTGGTCACAGCTGGGATAAGCATTCTGAAGGAAAAATACAGGATGCCGTGATGGAGGGTAATGGGGCCCCCATCTGGGTCGGGGGTTGAGAAGTATATCCAAACTGATTCCTGGAGGATGACGGGGAGCTGGCAAGATATGTGGTGGGGTACAGTGGGGGAGAATGTTCCAGGCAGAGGGAGCAGGTGGTGTGAAGGCCCTGAGGTGGAAGGAGCTCAGAGATTTTGTGGAATGGAGAGAAGCCTGGAGAGGAAGGTGGGGTTCCAACCACATGGGAAGACATTTGGGTTTATCCTAAGTAACTAGGGAGCCAAAGAGGGTGTTGAGGAGAGAGCTGGATCTGATGTACCTTTCTTTTATATTTATTTTTATTATGGAGAAATTTGAGCATACATCAAAGTAGAAGAGACCCAATATACCCCCCATCCACTCCTGGCCAGCTCTGCCTGATCCTTACCCCCCTCTTCTGTGTAACCTTGAAGCAAAGCCCAGACATCCCATTATCCCATTCATAAATATTTCAGTATATATCTTTAGCAGATAAGGGTTTTAAAAAATCCACCCTACATTATCACATCTAAAAGATAACTTAAAAATTCCCATCATCTAATATCCAGCCAGTGTTAAAATATTCCCCATTGCTTCATAAACATCACCAATGTTTATTTTTAAATTTGTTTGCTTGACTTAAGAGACAAATTGGGTTCCCACGCGGCGGCTTCTGATATGGTCCTAGGCTCCTCCTCCATCTCCTTTTTTCCTCGCAGTTTGTTGAAGAAACCGGGTTACTTGTCCTGTAGAGTTTTCCCGAATTTGCTTTTTTAAGACTGGGGCATTCACGGTGTGGTGGAATCATGGGGGGAGCCCACAGCTGCGGGGCTTGAGCTGGCAGTGCCCTGGGCATTGTGTGGCAGAGAGGGGAGCGACGAGGCATTTTCTCAGCCCCGGGCTTCCCTGGAGGATAATGCTTTCCCAGTTATCTGCGGCCTCACATTTGCTCCCACCATGGTGGTTCTCCATCCTCACAGTGCTTTAGAAAAATCCAGACGCACAGCGTCGCATCTCTTAGATACTAGCGCAGAAGGTGTGGGGCAGGGCTTCCCAAACTAGCGGGGCTCAAGAATCACCTGAAGAGCTTGTTAAATACAGGTCCTGCGCGCCATCCCCGGAGATTCTGATCCAGTATGCAACGCGCCCGGGAATTTGCAATCCAACAAGTTCCCAGGGGACGCTGATGCTGCGGCTGGTCGTCTGTCCAGCACCGGCCGGATTGGGCGCCAGGCATGAGTATTTTTAAAAGCTCTCCAGCTGATCTGACGGGCACCTGGGGTTAGAAACCACGTCCGGGTAGGGAAGAGATGTTGCGGGCCAGGGGCTCCCGAGACGCCCTGACATCTTCCGACGTCAGGGCGTCTGGGAGCAGACGCAGGCAGCAGCAGTTAGGGCGGGGCTAGGGGCGGGGCGGGGGTTCGCCCCTCCCGGCTCAGGCCCCGCCCCCGCCCCCCAGGACCCGGGCTCCGCCTTCCTGCAGCTGGGCGTGTCCCTGGAGCAGCAGCTGCAGGTGCTGTTCAAGGTGCTGGAGGAGTACGACTGGAGCGCTTTCGCGGTGATCACCAGCCTGCACCCGGGCCACGCGCTCTTCCTCGAGGGTGTGCGCGCCGTCGCCGAGGCCAGCTACCTGGGCTGGCAGCTGCTGGACGTGCTCACGTTGGAGTTGGGCCCCGGCGGGCCGCGCGCGCGCACCCAGCGCCTGCTGCGCCAGCTCGACGCCCCGGTGCTGGTGGCCTACTGCTCTCGCGAGGAGGCTGAGGTGCTCTTCACAGAGGCGGCACAGGCCGGCTTGGTGGGGCCTGGGCATGTATGGCTGGTGCCGAGCCTGGCGCTGGGCAGCACCGACGCTCCCCCCGCCGTCTTCCCCGTGGGCCTCATAAGCGTCGTCACTGAGAGCTGGCGCCTCAGCTTGCGTCAGAAGGTCCGCGATGGTGTGGCCATCCTGGCCCTGGGTGCCCACGGCTACCGGCGCTGGCACAGCACCCTGCCTGACCCCGCTGGTGACTGCCGTGGCCACCCCGGGCCCATCAGTCCTGCCCGAGTGGCCTTCTACAGGTGGGCATCTGTTCAGTGTATGGGAGCCGGTGGGAGGGTGCTTCAGGGGACCTGGGTGGCAGTGAGGTTGGGCTTGCTGGCCACACCTCCCACTAACTGTGCTTGGAGCCAGGTCACCTCACTTCTTTGGGCCTTAGTTTCTTCATCAGAAAAAAAGAGCTGGGTGTGAGTGTGTGATGAGGTCACAGGGGTCCATAGAGGTGAACATGGGACATTAAGTACATGATAGATGCTACCTGTTCTTGGTGGTGGTGAGGCAAAAGGTGGGGGTGGCATCTGGTCCTGGACAGGGCTGCAGGCAGGGCTAAAGGGACACCAGGCTTTTCTCCACCCATCCCCCACCTTCCGGCAGGCACCTACTGAATATCACCTGGGAGGGCCGCGACTTCTCCTTCAGCCCTGGTGGGTACCTGGTCCAGCCCACCATGGTTGTGATCGCCCTTAACCGACACCGCCTCTGGGAGATGGTGAGAAGGGGGTGAGCCCAGGGGCCCTCGGTATCCTCTCACTTTGTCCCCAGCCTCTCTTGCCCCACAGCTGAGCAGAGTCCCTTCTGCCCTTATCCAGGCCCTCATCCTTCAGTTCTCAGCCGCAGCATCACCTCTGAGAAGCCTTCCAGGTCCCCCAGGGTGGGCGAAGTGCTTGCTCTGGGCTCCCATAACACTCTGTTCACACTCCCTCCACTGCAGAACTTACCAAGCACTCTTAGCACATAGTCCTGCCCCTGGAGGAGCAACCTAGAGCTGTGCTGGTCCATCAGACATGTAAACAGATAGAATTTGGGGAAATCAGGGCTTGAGAAGAGATGTGTGCAAAACATGTGAGAGTAGAGAGGAGGAATAGAAATTAGTTCTGCCTTCAAAGGAGTAAACTGGGGAAGGCTTCAGAAATTGGGTCATTTGGGCTGTGCTGTAGAGGGTTGAATAGGAGCCCACCAGGAAGGGGTACTAGCCTCATAGAGGCAAAAGGGCAGGAGGGTTTGGGGTATTTTAAAGTGATGTGTTTGGGGGTGTGGAGACTGGGGGAGAAGGGTGGGGTTATGGGGGTAAGTTGGACCAGAGTGTGAAGGGCCTTGAGTGCTGGGCTAAGGACTTCATAGTAAAGTCAGGGGCAATGAATGTGGTGAGGCAGGCTCAGGACTGAGCATTAGGAAGATGCTGTGGGCTAGCAGCAGTGTGGAGGCTGGACTGGAAAGTACAGGGACCAGAGGCTGGGAGGAGGTTACAGGGAGCCCTCCCTTTTGGCCCATGCCCAGCCCCTTGTCCTGACTCTCCTGCTCCCCAAATGCTCCTGCCTCCGGTCTTCTACCCCAAGCATCCCTAGGCGAGGGAAGCATATTCTTGGCCCTGACCGGCCCACCCAGAGGCTGCATCTGGGGGGCGGGTAATGGGGCTGCAGGTCTCAGGCTGAAGCTGGTCTTCCTCTGCAGGTGGGGCGGTGGGCCCATGGTGTCCTCCACATGAAGTACCCAGTGTGGCCTCGCTACAGTGCCTCCCTGCAGCCCGTAGTGGACAGCCGGCACCTGACCGTGGCCACACTAGAAGAGCGGCCCTTTGTCATTGTGGAGAGCCCTGCCCCTGGCACGGGTGGCTGTGTGCCCAACACTGTGCCCTGCCGCAGGCAGAGCAACCACACCTTCAGGTTCGTGAAAACACTTGGGTGGCCCTGTGTGAGCTGTGTGCTGCTGTGTGGGGGCAGGCGCTGTGTGTGTCTTATGCTTGGGTGGGGGGGGGCAGGGGTCCACATGCCAGGCTGGGAGGAGCTGCTGGCTGTGACTCCAGATGGTCTCTTGGTGGCAGCAGTGGTGACGCAGCCCCCTACACCAAGCTTTGCTGCAAGGGCTTCTGCATCGACATCCTCAAGAAGCTGGCCAAGGTGGTCAAGTTCTCATATGACCTGTACCTGGTAACCAATGGCAAGCATGGCAAGAGGGTGCGCGGCGTGTGGAATGGCATGATTGGGGAGGTAGGCCCACCTCTCAGGCCCACCCCACCTGGCTGCTTACTGCCTCAGGCCCAGACCTCCCTCAGCCCCGCTGAGATGCTCCTAAGGCGTTCTCTCCTATGCTGGGGCTCAGTCAGGGTGTGACCCAGGCCCAGCTCCTGCCAGGGGGTCCCCCAGCTGGCAGGGAAGATTGGACTGTCCCCAATGATTGCCGCTTGGTGGTCAGTCCTGAACGTGGAACTCTGAGGGCCCCAGATGAGAACACCCGATTCAGTTGCTGGGAGGGGGCAGGAGGAGTCTGGGGAGAGTGCATCAGCCTGGGGAGCCCCTCCTCTAATCCGGGCCTTGCCCCGTGGCCCCCAGGTGTACTACAAGCGGGCAGACATGGCCATCGGCTCCCTCACCATCAACGAGGAGCGCTCCGAGGTCGTGGACTTCTCTGTCCCCTTTGTGGAGACCGGCATCAGCGTGATGGTGGCTCGAAGCAATGGCACTGTCTCCCCCTCGGCCTTCCTGGGTGCGGCTCTGGGTGGGCAGGGTTGGCTCTGGGGTCAGAGGGGCCCGTGAAGCAGATGTATGGAGCATGGGTGTAGATGGGAGTTCAGGGTCCTCAGCACCTGGTGTGAGGCCTGACACAGCGGGGCCGGAGATGGGGAGAACAGGGGCGTGGTCGACCTGTGAGGAAGGCGAGGGCAAGGGAGGCAATTCTGGGGGCCTGCAGCTGGGACTTTGTGGGTTCAGGCTAGAGTGGGGGTGGGGGATGGAGCAGGTGGTGGATGGAGGGATGGAAGAGGGAGGGGAAGGAACGTGGGCTGTGGACCCTCTTCCTGTGGAAGGAAATAGGGGGAAGAGGCAGGATGAGATGCAGGGAAGACAGGTGGCCAGAGGAGGTTTTCTGGGTATGTGCAGGGGAAGAGGGGACCCTATCCCAGAGCAGAGGAGCAGGGGAGACCAAGAATGCCGGAAAGCCTGACTCCCCTTGGGGGGGTTCTCTCCTGGGGCTGTGCTGCTCTGAGAGGCAGCGACCCCTGGCTCAGTCGGTGCGCTGATGGGCTCTGACCACGTGGGCCCACCTGTCTGCACCCAGCTCTCTGGGCCGCGGTGCGGAGGGACGGCCCCGAGGCCTCTGAGCCGCTTCCGTCTGTTCCCAGAGCCCTACAGCCCCTCAGTGTGGGTGATGATGTTCGTCATGTGTCTTACTGTGGTGGCCATCACGGTCTTCATGTTTGAGTACTTCAGCCCTGTCAGCTACAACAAGAACCTCACCAGTGGCAAAAGTGAGCTCTCACTTGGGCCCGGGGTCAGGGAGCAGGGCTGGGGTGTCCCGGCAGGGTGGGCTCAGGGCCTCAGGAATGCTGATCTTGGGGGAGGTCTCTGGTCTTCAGACCACATGCAGGGGCTAATGAGATGTATGTGAGAGAGAAACAGGGTAAGCTGACTCGCTCTGGAGTGGGTATGGCCAGGGATGGGTCCCACACCCAGGACAGGGTGGGGACAGGAGCTGTGGAGCCAGGTGGGCTGAGACCTGAGCTCCTCTGTGCCAGGCATGAGGAGCCCCAGTTTCGCTCTCTCACCCCCAGAGTCTGGAGGCCCGTCCTTCACCATCGGCAAGTCTGTGTGGCTGCTGTGGGCACTGGTCTTCAACAACTCGGTGCCCATCGAGAACCCCCGAGGCACCACCAGCAAGATCATGGTCCTGGTCTGGGCCTTCTTTGCCGTCATCTTCCTTGCCAGTTACACTGCCAACTTGGCCGCCTTCATGATCCAGGAACAGTACATCGACACTGTGTCTGGCCTCAGTGACAAGAAGGTTCTGGGGCCACAGTTTCTGGGAGGCAGGCAGGGGGATGCTGAAAGCAGGGGACAGGAGGGGAATTTGAACTGGTGGTGGGAGCAGGAAGAAACTGGGGGAGCCTGGTGAGGAGGGGGCAGGGCTATGGGGAGAGACATGGCCCAGGTCCGCTGAGCGGCCCTGGGCAAGTCTCTCCCTGTCCTGGCCTCAGTTTCCCCATTTGAAAAACACAGGAATGGCCTGGACAACCTCTAAGACTATTCTGCTTGCACTCTGCAAGGGCAGGCTACAGGGCTGTGCTCTGGGGAGGGGGCTGGAGGTGTCAGTGCCTAGAGGGTTGGAGACAGGGTTACAATGGCAGCTGCCCTCTGCCCACAGTTTCAGCGGCCTCAAGATCAGTACCCACCCTTCCGCTTTGGCACAGTACCCAACGGCAGCACGGAGCGGAACATCCGCAGCAACTACCGTGATATGCACACCCACATGGTCAAGTTCAACCAGCGCTCGGTGGAGGATGCACTCACTAGCCTCAAGATGGGGTGGGTTCCCAGCCCGGTTCCCAGCCCTGCACCCACCCTCTGTCTCGTCTCTACCCATATCTTCCCAGTGACCAGTCTTGGCTATGTCCCTCCCTGAGAGACCCAAGGTGGGGACAGTGAGGCTGGACTGTCTCCTGGGGAGGAGGGGAGGAGGTCTTGGGGGCAGAGTGAGGCTCGAAGCAAAATTGGATGCCCCATGTGGCTCAGAGATGTAGCTACAGTGTTGACCAGAGTTTAGCCTTGGCCTGAAGTGGTGCTTGTGACCTGCTTAGGGTCTTAGGGGCATGGAGGGGCTGGGCAGAGAGGGTATGTCCTCTGGAGGCAGAGTGTTCCTCGCCTTTCTGAGGAGGAGGGTAAATGGGACCCCTGAGCTACAGCAGCGGGTCTTCTCTGCATCCAGAGCCACAGGGAACCAGAGAGGGCTTGGCCCAATCCTCCTGGGTGTGCGCAGCAGGTGCACGTGGCCCGACCCCGTCAGGCCCCAGATTTGGTGTTCCCACCCCACGAGATCCCCGGCCTGAAGGCTTGGCCTGTCCCCAGGAAGTTGGATGCCTTCATCTACGATGCTGCTGTCCTCAACTACATGGCGGGCAAGGATGAGGGCTGCAAGCTGGTCACCATTGGTTCCGGCAAGGTCTTTGCCACCACTGGCTACGGCATTGCCATGCAGAAGGACTCCCACTGGAAGCGGGCCATAGATCTGGCACTCCTGCAGTTTCTGGGGGACGGTGGGTGCTGCTGGGGGACTGGGTTCCAGGGTGGGCCATGGAGCCTGTCATGGGGCAGTGGCCTGACGACTGGTCAGCAAGTCCATTACTGTCCTCTGAGTTCCAGGGCCTGGGGGCAGGGAGAGGTCTCTGGGGGTGAGAAGTTGTGGCAGTGGGTGGAGGAGTATTTGGAGGGACCTGAGGGAAATGGGGGAGAGACAGGTTTGCTGGGAGGAGTGGGAGATAGAGTTGGGGAGTCCCTGAAGGGCAGGAAGACAGGAAGGAGCTCAGGCCACACTCGGGGTTGGGGGTGGCTGAACTCCTTTGTTTTTCTCCAAAACCCCTCCTCATCTTGAGATCACCTGGGGAGTGCCCAGTGCTTGCCTAGACCCAGAGCTGGGGCGCAGGCTTGCCTTGGTACCAGGGGCTTACATGTGTGAGTGATCCAGCTGAGCCTGCCCCCAAACCCAGAGAGAGCTTTGGGTTCCAATCCTATTATTAGATAAATAACTCTGATTTTCCATCCATCAGTACCATGGAATAATGAGTGATCACAGTGAAGGTGCCTGTGGTCTCCTTGGGGGTCCAGGCCTTCTGTGTGCCCATCTCCATACCTGGCATAGAGATGATCATTAAAAGTTTGATGAATAAATGTATGATACAGTTTACCCAGTCAACAATTCTTACTGGGTATGGGGTGGGGGTGGGGGGTGTCAAAGCCTAGCTTTGCCCAGCCCAGCTCTTTGCTTTCCTTTCTCCCTGACCACTGACACCCCTGCCCCTCAAATCCTGCCCCTGTGGAGCTGGATCTCTGTGTAGTCCTACAAAGGCGTGGCATCCTGGCCACAGACTCCTTGATCCAGACTTGGGTGAGCATTGGGAAGGTCCTTCCTGAAGCAGGTGTGTCCTCCCTCCCACCCACACCAGGGGAGACACAGAAGCTGGAGACCGTGTGGCTCTCGGGAATCTGCCAGAATGAGAAGAACGAGGTGATGAGCAGCAAGCTTGACATCGACAACATGGCCGGTGTCTTCTACATGCTGCTCGTGGCCATGGGGCTGGCCCTACTGGTCTTTGCCTGGGAGCATCTGGTCTACTGGAAGCTGCGTCACTCAGTGCCAAACACATCCCGGCTGGACTTCCTGCTGGCCTTCAGCAGGGTGCGTGCTCACCCCACCTGAGACAGGCCCCAGATAAAGAGGCACCATCTCAGAAGTCAGAGCTAGCCACGGCCCCATTTATAGATGTAAAAATGGAGGGCGGGAGAGGTGGCAGGCCTTACTAGCATCACACCACAGATGAGAAGCAGAGCCCTTTTTCAACTGGCAGGGCAGTACTTGGGAGCCAGGCTGACCCGGAATCAAATCCCCATTGCCCTACAAGCTGTGTGACTTCAGGAAAGGAAGTTAACCTCTTGGAGCCTCAGACAACAACTCCATCGCCCCTTGCAGCAGCCGGTGCCTGCGGGCCGTTAACAAACAGTTGCTTCTTAGGCCCTAGAGATGACTGGGCTTATGACTGGGACGGGGAGGCCGGCGGTCCCTGAGAGGGGCCGGCTGCTAACACCTTGTCTCCTCCCTACTGCCCAGGGCATATACAGCTGCTTCGGCGGGGTGCAGAACCTGGCCAGCCCCGCGCGGCCGCCCAGCCCGGACCTCACGGCCAGTTCAGCCCAGGCCAGCGTGCTTAAAATGTTGCAGGCGGCGCGCGACATGGTGACCACGGCGGGCGTGAGCAGCTCCCTGGACCGCGCCACGCGCACCATTGAGAGCTGGGGCGGCAGCCGCCGCGCGGCCCCGCCGCCTGCCTGCCCCGGCCCGCGGCCGCCCACACCTGCCCCGGTCCCCGAGCTGCGCCCCAACGGCTGGGGACCGCCAGGCGGGGGCCGCGCCGCCCCGGGGTGCAGGGTCCCGAAGTCCCCGGGTCGCCCCCCGACGTTCGGGCTGCCCCTGCCCGAAGTCTCCCGGGTGTGGGACCGGCCAGCCTGGGAGGCGCCGGCGCAGGGTGGGTGCGGGGGGCGGCACCTCTGGGCGTCCGAGCGGCGCGCGGTCCCAGCGCGCCCCCTGTCTCCCGAGCCCTGCCAGTACAGCTCTTTCCTTCGAGCCGACCGCCCCGGGCGCCCCTTCCTCCCGCTCTTCCCGGAGCCCCCGGAGCCCGAGGACCTGCCGCTGCTCGAGCCGGAGCAGCTGGCCCGGCGGGAGGCCCTGCTGCGTGCGGCCTGGGCCCGGGGCCCACGCCCACGCCACGCTTCCCTGCCCAGCTCGGTGGCTGAAGCCTTCACCCGGCCCTGCCCGCCGCCCGCCGGGTGTGCGCTCCCGGCCTGTGGGCGCTTGGCGCCCGCGCAGTCGATGCGGCTGCCCTCCTACCGGGAGGCCTGCGGGGGGTCCGTGTGGGCAGGGGCCCCCACCTGGCCGCACAGACAGCACGCCTGCCTTCACGCCCATGCCCACCTGCCGCTCTGCTGGGAGGCTGTATGCCCTCACCTCCCGCGCTATGCCAGCCACGGACCCTGGCTCCCTGGGGCGTGGGGACCTCCGGGGCACAGAGGCAGGACCCTGGGGGAGCTGGCAGACTTCAGCAGGGTGGTCTGTGAGAGGCATGGCTTCCCCAGACCTTGCACCTGGCGGAGGATCTCCAGCTTGGAGTCAGAAGTATGAGGTGTCCACTCCAGTGGTTCCTGGGCAGCTGGATTATCCACCTGGCACTGCCAGGGTTAGGGGGCAGGCAGGCTTGGCCTTTTTTGGCTTCTGCCATGAAATCCTGGCCATGGGCACCCAGTGGCAGGTGATGTTGCCCACGGTCGGTTCAGTGACCTCAGCAGTGTCAGGTCCTGGTTTGGGCTGGGCTCTTGCTGCCTTCTTATGCAGAGCCCTGCCCACCTGGCCTGGAGTCACGGAGAGCAGGGGGACTCCTGTCAAGGCTGCTGGGGACCTGGTGTGAGAGCATGGAGGCTGGAACTCAGTGTTGGGGCAAAGCTGTCCTGCTCCTTGCTCTGCCCTCTGGAGTTTCTTCTCCCCAGAGCACCGAACATTAAACAGACCTTTTCCAACCCACTGGTCCTGGCTGCCTCATTCTGCATCCCTGGAGGGTCTCATCACAGGCTGTGGGCACTAGGCGCATCATACAAGCACCCTGGGTAGGGCGTCTGCCTAGAGGCTGTAAGCAGGCCCCTCTTGGGGAGTATCTGGAGGGTGAGCTTGAATAAGGGCTCAGGGCGACAGAAGCCGCTTGGCCTTCAGCACCAGCTCCCGTCCACCCTGGAGCTGGATGTGACGAACGTGCTCAGCACGGGGGCTCCCATGGCGATGGATGGAATTCATCCTCAGTCTCCTTGGAAAGAGATGCTCATGCCAGGGGCTGCGGGCATCCTGACCCGCTAAGTGCCCACCTGTGAGCCTGACGGGGTCGTGGCGGAAATGGCAGAGGGAGGTCGGTTGTGAGGACCCTGCTGGGCTCTCCTGGGCCCTGGCCCACTGTACACTCTCCATGGTGGCTGTGTGGAGTCCAGACTGACTGCTGGCTCTGGAAGCCTGGCACAGGAGGCTTCCAGGTCAGGCATGGCCCAGCCTTGCTGGTACCAGGACTCCTTGGGAGGGAGGGAGGGAGCGAGCCCCGGGTCAGAGAATCTGCCTGTGTCGCAGCCCTGCATCCTCCCTCTGGGCTCTCAGCCCCACCTCCTTTCTGTCACATGTCATTGGCCCTGGACTATCTAGAAAGATGGCTCTTGCTTACAGTGTTCAATGCTTTGACCCCTGTGATTCCATCTAGCCCCCACAATGCCCCTGGGCAGCAAGCCAGCCCTCATTCTTCCATATTCAGCCCGCAAACATGGTGAGTGTGATTGGTGCCATCAGACCCTTTTCCAGCTGTGAGTGTATAAAGCCTTCTGGGACGAGCTGGGTGAGGCAGGCCAGAAACAAACTATGTAGCAGGGAGGAGGCCAGGGAGGGCAGCGCTGGAGGCCACCAGCTGCCTAGTGCTCTTTCCCACAGGGCTCCTCACTGGTTCCCAAGAAGTGGGATCCCCTCTCCAGGCTCCCAACACCCCACTGCTGGGGCTGGGGCCATGAAAACTGGACGTTTTTGTTTGGTTTTTGGAGTGAGAACAGCTGAAATGGTAGAGAGGAGGGGGAGTCTCTAATAGCCCTCCACTTGGCTGGAGAGCCTGACTGCTCCAAGAATGGGTGGTCCCCATCTGTTACAGTAAATTTTATGTCCCCTGTGCTATGGATTTTCAAGGATCCAGGTCCAGGATTGGGGGAAGCAGCAACAGGTGGTGACTGTGAGTCTAGGTGAGTGCTAGAGGCCACTGCCCCAGAACGGAGCATGACCTTGTCTGCATGGCTTTGTTGGTGGGAGGGTTAATAACTGGTGGCCGCCAGCCCCCGACCTGCGCGCCCTCCTGCTTCGGGTCTGAGTGCAGCTCTGGGTGGAAGGCTGCAGCAGGTGAGCTGGGAGGAGCCATGAGTTTCAGGCTGCTTTCTGCTCACTGCCTAAGATCATTAATTACCAAGAGCTGGAAGGATAATCAGAAGGCAGATGTGGCGCTGAGCCTGCTGCTAGCTGGCTCCAAGGGGGGCCAACCCTGCCTCCAGGGCCAGGCTCTTGGCTGCCTCGTTCCTGTTCTAGGAATGTGTTCTGGGGAGAAGTGAGCCCTGTGGGATGTGGGGGCAGGAAGGATGCTTCCGGCAGAAAGCCTGGCGGGTAGGAGGCAGCTGACCTTGTGCATGAGGCCACAGACATTCAGTCATTGTAAACAGGTGCGTGACTGTGCAGCAAAGTCATGAATGTGAATTCATCCAGACCAGACATTCAAATGCTGTTTCCTTTTGGTGGGATACAGGGAGAGACTGGCCCTTGGTCACCTGTCTCAGCAGTAGGAGATTCCTACCATCGCATCCCATCCTCTCTGGCTGCTGCCACTGTGGTGTCCTCTGTCTTTAGTGAGAGGCTCATGGTCCACACCACCTTCTTCCTGGGGCCTGTGTGTGAGGAGGGGGAGTAGAACTTAGAAAAGGGCAGGAGTGGTGTGCTCAGTCAGGACACTGGGCTTCAGTCCCGGCTCCAGAGCGCTCCAGCTTGGCTCAGGCCGGCTCTTTGAAAGGAGATGACTGTCTGTAAGTTTCCTCCCCAAAGTCCTCCACACCTGAACGAATTCAGGTCAGATTCTTGTTTCTGAACTATAGCAGGCAGTTGACACTTGACTCATTAGGAGGCTATGAAACCAGTTAGGTGCCTGGGAACTCTGGAGCTACAAGTGGTTATGACTGGCAAGTGACATCAGTACATAGTAGCTTTACTGAACACTAAGCTCAGTACTTTAGTTCCCGGAGCTGGTCAGTGATAGGATGGCCAGATGACAGGAAGAGAGAGCCTGGAGGCTGCCTGCAAGGGGCAGGCAGGTCTGACTTCTTGGTCTGAATTCTAAATCCCAGTTATGCCAGGGTCCACATGGCAAGTACCCAGCCCCATGCCTGGCACATGCCAGGCACTCAATGTTGCTTCTGCCTTTCTCTAATGGGTGCCATGAGCTCCAGGCCCAGAGGAGAAGGGGTCACAAAGCTCCCTCACGCAGTCCTGGATCTTGGTGTCAGAAGAGCACCTTTTCAGTGGCCATTAGTACAGCTTGGCCTGCCTGAGCCCTGCTCAGGAACTGGACCCCTAGACAGGCGTGGTCTCGGCCTACTGCCCGCCTGTGGTCTCGCAGCCCTAGGCCAGGTACTGCCAGGCTCTTCTCCCTGGGCTGGCTTCCCACGAGGCAGGGGGCAGCCCCTGGAGTCCCCACCACTCTGACTTTAGTCTCTGCTTGTTGCTGAAGCTGCTCCTGTTCCCCATGTGGTGAGAAGAGCTGTGTGGCTAAGGTCATGGCAAGGTGCCCACTGCCCACCTTCCACCACTCGGCGGTGCCTCCCAGCCTGTCACCTGCCATCTGCCCCCTCCGTAAGCCTGCAGCTGCCTCTCTGGCCCCAGGTGAGGGAACAGGTGGGAGCTGCTGGCGTGATGGCATGGAGCTCTGCAAGGCACAAGAGGGAGATCGCCGACTCCCACCTTGACCTGGCCTGCCCTCGGGCCAATCTGGGGCAGTGTGGGTGAATGGCACTGGGTGGCACCTGCTGAGTTTACATTCCCCTCCACAGGGACACTTGAGCCTGGGCTGGCATACTCTTACCCTTCCCACCACCGACTCCCAGGCCTACATGGAAAATGGATAGCATGACCTGGCTTGCCCACCTCACCAGGCTGATGTAAACACACAGCCAAATGTACATGATGTGAACATCATTGGGGTATCTAATTTTCGGGGTCCTCACCTCCTTACCCCAAGCCCCCCTGCCTACCAGCTGTAGAGAGGAAGGCAGCCCCATCTGACCTCTAGCAGACAGACAGCAGGTGACCTCTGAGGAGCCGAGGAACCCAGACGTGGCAGTGGCGGGCGCCCTGACTTGCCGTCAGTCACGTGGTCACCTCGGGTCACACTCCTCCCTCTGGGACTGGGGCTGCCCAGCTTGGAAAAGGGGAATGTGGCCACCTGACTCCACTGCTGGTGGCTCCAGATTGTCACATAAATCAACCTGGACTTTATGATGCTAATAAATCCACATTCAGAATTTGCTTTGGAGCCTGGGGCGGCAGGATGATTTAATTTGCTTTGTCCTTAAGCAAGAGGGCAGGTAACCGGAGAAAGGTAAGCACAGATGTTTTGAGTTTTCAGCAGGGCGGCTTTGGGGAGGGCCTGAGCCCCGGGGAACCTGGCCAGGAGGGGCCCTCCCTGCTCTGCCCACCCCGGGGCAGGCCCTCCTGAGCAGAAGCCACAATGGCAGACGGGAAGCAATGTCTGGTTTTCATTTGGATGGGAAACAACAATATATGGGGACGAGCTCTGAGAGAAGACATGGGACAACAGTGAGAAAGCAGAGAGCGGTCATCTGACGTAGGAGCCTCACCGGCTGGGGCTGCCAGAAGCCAGAGGCAGGGCTGCAGCAGTGGGCAGCCTCCCTACCTCCCTGCAAATCCCACATCCTCTTTCCCCCTCCCCGGAACCACCAGGGGCCCCAGTGCTGTACCTCTGTCCAAGGTATGAAGAAGGCTTGATGCGAGGGCGACTGAGCAAGGCACTGAAGTCACAAGGGGGACGGCAGGGGCCTGAGCCCTCACCCCAGACAGGCAGCTCCTGCTCATGCTGCTCTGGGCTCCAGGACAGGTGGGGACCAGGCCCAGGGCTGTGGGCGTGCTAGGGAGGGTCAGGAAGGACCCTCGAGTCCTAGAGCAGGAGAAGGCACATTGAAAATAGTCTGTCTGAGTCACCTGTGTTTCCGAGGAAGGCTGGCCCAGCAGGGGCATGCATGCTTGTGATGGGGAAGGGACTACGGCAGAGCTGGTGAGGTGGCTGGGAACCTGGCCGTCCTCCCATGAGAATGACGGCCAGCGTCCTGTCTCACCCCGTGACACCCAAAGGGCATGGAGAGTGTGAACTCTGAGCACCCATGGCCCAGCTTGAAAGGAAGCCACCTTCAGTGTTGGAGTGGGAGCAGAGGCAGCCAAGCCCCCTGCTGCATGGGAGGCATGACCGCTTACAGGGCGGGAACCACGGGGCGGCTCACCACGACATGCTCCGGTGCTCCCAAGCTGATGCCGTGGCGGAGGGGGCAGCTCCCCACGAGTGGCCCTTGTGCACTGCCTCCCCTCCCCTCCGCACTTCAGGAGGCCCCAAGGACCCCAAAGGGCAGTCAGAAGAGCAAAAGGCTCCTTTCAGGGCTCACAAGCTCTGGGCTTAAAACCGGCTGTCGTGCCGCTCGGCAGGGCTGCTCCGGCCTACTGCTCCCAAGCCATCCTGGGCTCAGGAGAATGAGGATGGGAGCCGGTGCCCGCGGCAAGGGTCTCCAAGGCGCTGGCCCAGGAACCCTGGTGCTGGCACATCCTGTTCTTGTCGTTGGGGCTGGCTGTGCTCTCCCCTGGGAGTGGCACTGGTGACTCCAGGCCTGACAGGAAGGTGGGCTCAGCCAGGAGGAGGGTAGGGCCTGGGATTCGCCTTGAGGGGGCAGCAGCTCCTAGTGGAGCCAATTTCCCAGACAAGCACGCGGGAGGGAGCTGGCAGGGAGTTGGAGGGGGACGCGGTGTCTGGTATAAATAGCTGCAGCGCCAGCACTGCGTCTCCACCGAGTCGGGGGAGGAGGAGGGAGGGGTCCGCCCCAGGTGTGGGGCGGTGGGTGTAAAGCCGTAACCAGTCCTGGAACCTGGGAGCAACACGTTCCTGGGTTGTGCAGCTTGGCTGGTGAGGGGCAGCTCCAGGCGGGAGGACCAGTGGGGAGGGCCGCCCAGGTGAGGCGAGGTACAGACAGTGGGGACCAGACTGGAGATATGGAGGGTCCCCTCCATGAGCCTGGCCTCGCCTGCCCCACGGAGACCTGGGAGGCAACTCGATCTTGGCTCTGCAGGTGGGAAGGTGGGGGTGGGGCCAGGGTGGGACCCCCCACTCCTCTTGTCACCAGACCCATTCTGCCATCAGACCTTGGACTCGCTGAGGACGATGTTGGCAGTGACGAAGAAGAAGCAGGAGAAAGCCCAGAACAGCACAAAACCCACCCAGAAGGTGTGGTGGAAAGGGGATCTGTGCTTGTTGACAGTCCCGTAGCCGAAGGCCAGCTCGGTGTCCTTGCGGCAGAGGTACACCAGGAAGGCGGGGATGACATATTGGATGCCTGTGCCTGCGTAGGCCCCCGTGATGCCCACCAGGGATTCCAGGTCATGGGTGCAGAAGGCCACCAGCACGGGAGGCACCAGGGTGATGATGGGGAACACCACGCGGTCCACTACCCAGGGGTAGGTGCCCCCCTCGCGGTGGAAGAGGGTCTTCCAGTTGTTGCGGAGGGTCACGGCGATGATGGGGAAGTTGGTGCTGATGGTGAAGACGGGGAAGAGGCCCAGGAAGAGGCGCACGGGGGCCAGGCCCACGATGTCACAGCGCGCGAAGTTGAGGGTGTACATGTCCAGCAGGCTGTCGCCGCGGAAGCAGAAGATGGCGGTGAAAGACAGGAGGCCGTAAAAGGCCAGGATCAGCATGTAGTCCAGGGAGACCAGGCACGTGAGGCAGCGCTTGGAGGAGACAGGGGTGATGAGGGATGGCAGCGAGTGCTGGCACATGAAGGAGTAGACGCACACCCCGAACAGGTTCCGGACCCCCGAGAGGTTGGCCAGGGGTGGCTGGCCCTCCCCCTGCCCGTGCCCGATGCGCACCAGGGCCAGCACAATCATGATGGCGAAGGCTGGGAAACAAGATAAGAGTCAGCCAGAGGAGGAAACAGCCCTACCCTGCCTGTTTCTGGTCTGGGGGTGCTTGCTGGGGGCCGGAGCCCCGTGAGAATCATTACACTCACATAATCCTGATGGCTACAGGCTGGGGCAGATTAGCAGCGGCTGTTGATTTTAGGATGTCCCCTGCATTCCCTCTGTGACCTGTTCACCCCTCCGCCAGCAGGTAAGGGGGAGCTCCCCCAGCCAGCTCCCCGATTGGCAGCCCCCTGAATCAGGCCTGCGTCAGGCCTTGTGTTCACTCTCCTTCCCTTGGTTTAAAGACTGTGTGTCTGAGGAGCTGGCTGGGGAACTGGAGAGGTAAGGGGCACAGAACATTTGGGAGGAGGTGCCCTTCTGGGCCAAAGGCATCTGTGGGAAGGTGGGGAGGAGTGGCAGCAGCTCTGAGCAGAGGCAGGGGCCTGGGGCTTTCACCGGGAGGAAGACACCTGTGGCTACTCAGGGGGAGAAATGGCACCGAAGACCAGTGCTGGGGCCAGCAGAGTCCTCTGAGCTGCTGGCGCCACGGCGGGAGGCAAAGGCATACTGCTCTGTTCTGCTGGGCCTTGTGGCACAAGTGCGGGACAGGGACTGATTCTGTAGAAGTGGAAGGGGCTCATGACTGTTCAGAGCCAATGGCTCCATGCTGGCTTCCCCCGGCAGCCTTTCACAGCGGCCCTCCTGCGGGTCTCACGTGGGAGCTGGGCTCTCCAGTGGGTGCTGGGCAGGTAAGCTCCCCGAGGAAAGACGTGCTTCTAGATGGAGCTGACCCTGCATGTCTCCAGCTTCTAGCACCCGCCACCCAGATTACCTAGAACCGCCACCGTGAGCCGTTCTCCACACACAGGGACCACCGGCTTTGGAGTTCATAAACCCCTGTGGCCTCTAGACCAGGTCTCACAGCCCCTTGGGCCTGTGCCCCGATCCCTCAGGTAAGCCTGAGATGACATTTCTTAGCAGCACAGGGGGAGTGTGAAGGAGCAGTTGGCCGGAAGAGGCTGCTACTGGCTGTGTGGGCCCTGCCTGCGGGCCCATTTGAGGCTGGGGGCCTTCCCACTGTCCCCTCAGCCCACACCACACTCTCCTGCTCCCTGGAAGGAGACGGCCTTTGTCCTGGGACTCAGGGAAAGCCAGACCAATGTCTTCCCACAATGACACTTGGGAGTGGGATCGACGCACCTGTGATCTATTACTTTTAATCAGAACTGCCTGACACTGTCGGGGACAGGAGAGGAGGCAGAAGCAGGGACAGGCTTGTGAAAATTGCCAATAAAGAAGATGATTTGTTTCTGATGCTCAGCTCTGCTGCTCAGGCTCTGAGGGCCCCCATGACCTCCCCTGCGCCTGGGACCTTGGGGACCACCTAGGACCCTGGCAGTCTGCGTCAAGTTTTGGGGGGGTGGGTGCAGGAGGGGTATGCAGGGCACAAGTCTGTGTGGAGGGAGTGTGCGGGGGCAGCAGGAGAGGGTGAGGGACCCAGCGGAAAGGCTGGATGGGGCGAGGCGGAGTCCCCAGGCCCCATGGAGTCTGTCCTGGGCCAGAAAGAGTTACAGAGCAGAGCCAGGCACCAGGGTGGCTCCAGCTGGCAGACCAGGGGCCCTGGGACAGTGAGGTGCTTAGCTATTCAAGAGGCTGCGGCTGACAGTTCTGCACCATAGGGAGCGCACCGTGGTCAGCTTGCTGGAAGGCAAGATTCAAGTCCCGCTCTGCACTGCCCTGCCATCTCGGGTGTCACGTTGTGACCTGGTGCTGCCCCTGCCTGGCCAAGACCGGCACAGATTATCAAGAGGCGAGTGGAGAAACCCTCTAGCTCTGGGTCCCTAGGCCTCAGGGCCCTAGTGCAGGAGCGTGGGAGAAGGCAGGGAGAAGTCTGCTGCTTGGACGTGAGGACCCCCTAATCACTGCTCCTTCCAGTCCGGGATGCTGGAGTGCTTTTCTGCTCATCTTCTTCCTCAACCCTAAATTCCAGGAAGTTGTAAGAAATGCAGGCTTGCTGATTTTAAGGTGAGCCGTCTGGGCAGCTCTGACTGGAGGCTCTCCTTATTGTAAATAAGCCAGTTTCTGAAGCAGGTTTCCAGATCATGAGACTTTCTTTAAAGCATGTGTAGGCATGCCCCACCCACCACCTCTAATAGGGATCCCCAGAATCTGGTTCTGATTCCCTCTGTGACCCCCAGGTGATTGGGGGACCTATCTTTAGTCAATGATGTGGTACATTTTCTAGAATCTTCAGTATGGCTTACAAAGGCAGGGCTATGGTTGATGATAAAGCTTCTCTCTCAATTTTCTAGGTATAATTAATTTTACATCACAATGCTATTATCTAGATTAGTTACCCACCTTGTTCTCTTAATCAAACAAATCTGTTTCCAGCCCTATCCTTAAGGACTGGGTGTTTGCTCCTGTCCAGGAATTAAGATGCCGGAGGCTCTGGGGAGGCGATTCCAGGAGCATTAAAAGGTGGCTGCCTGGTGGGGTTGCAGCTCCTGGATAAGCCTCCGAAGGGGACAGGCTATGGTGGGAGGTGCGCTGGGCGAGCCCCACTCCCTTTAGCCACAGTCCATGCTGCTCTGTGGAAAGCTCACCCAGCGGTGTGGCTTAGCAGCACGAAGTGCAGGGGCAGCTCTGTGGCCCCGTGGCCCCTGAGTGTCTGCTGGGTGCTCGCCAGTGCCAGGTGTGGTGAAGCAAAACCAGGCCCCGAGCTGCTCTCAGGACGCTTACGCTCCAGCTGGGGAAAGTCCCTCACCGGAGCAGCGTGGTAATGCGTTCAAGCTGAGAGGTGCTTCTGGGCAGGGCACACAATTCCAGCAGCATGCACCCTAGGGGAGCAGCCTGGGCTTGGAGTGCGGGTGAGGTCAGCTCCCCAGGAGCCCCATTAACCTCCAGAAGGACCAGAGGAATGTGAGCCATGGGGGCCCTTCAGTTCCCCCCAAGCACTGTGAGGACACTGGATGGGTGCTGGACTGCTCTCTGGAGTAGAGGGGCCCAGAAAAGATTCTGCCCCAGCATCCACGTTGGCAAGCTCAGAGACACTGATGATGCTTGGAATGAAGGGACAGAGAGAGAAGGAATGCAGGCACAGGTTGCTTAGACCCTGAGAGTGCCCAGGACTAGGGACATGAAGACTGACTCCTGCTGCCACCAGGCCCTGCCCTTGTGACTATGCCCCTTTGCTCCCGGCCTCCCCACTTCCCTGGTTGACAGAGGAGCAGAGTTCAATGGCCATCTCCTAGACTGATCATCCCGTCTCTGGGAGACAACTGCTTCCAAAACTCATTAGGTCTGATACAAACTCAAGATGAAATGAGGATGACAGCTGTGAGTGACAGACACTGCCAGGAAACAGGTCAGAGCAGGGCTCTGAGTGCACACGCCGATGCCCAGGGCTCAGCCGGCACTGCCACCGACAGCTCGTGCCCACCTGCCGAGGCTGCATGGGGGGCCACGAGGATGGGCACTGGGTAGGGCCAGCTTAGCATCTCTCTGACCCCCCCAGGCCCTGATCAGAGTTTGAATAGAAGACCTGGGTCACAACCACATCCCACTGTGTCCTGCATCGGAAATCTGCTCCGTGGGTGAGGAGATGCAGCGAGTTGCTGGGGAGGATCCCGTGGGGGCAGGGAGGTGAGGGCCTGATACACGTCACATGAAGACTGGCTGTCCACCTCAGAAGGTGACAAGATGGGACAGGGGATTTCTCTTGAAATATCTGCATGATAGCTCATGAGAAAACAACTGCACTTGTCTGTGTAACTCATGGGCTCAGCTGGGACCACCCATCCACATGTTCAGCAAAGATGAACCAAGTGCCCACCGTGCACCGCTGCTGATCTGGGCATCTGCGGATAGCACCTGAGCAAGCAGACACCCCTCCTGTCCTGGAGCCCGCAGTCCAGCGGGACCAGCGGGTGGGAGTTACAGGAGACAAATCACAGCCAATGAAAGAACTGGTGACAGCCACACCAGTGGGCAGTGGGGGAGGCTGGAGGGGTTGGATGGGTAGTGAGAGCTCTGTGGTGGGAAGCATCCAAGCCCCAGGGTAGAAGACCACCTGGGGGTCACAGAGGGAATCAGGTGTCAGAACCAGATTCTGGAAAAACCTGTTGGGCTGTCCTACTCTGCAGAGCAGGAGAGGGGGAGGGGCCCACATAGTGCCCTGGGTTACCCACAGCCAGGGCACCGCTTGGCCTGGCCTGAGAGGTATGCCACTTTCACAGACGTACCCTGACCGCTGCTCTGAGACACTGCATCAGTTCGCCTTGAGCTGCAGCCTGCTTCCCCAGCCCCACACACCCACTCCTCAGGAGGCAGCGGGACAGACAGGAGCGGAGGGCAAGCCTGTGCCCTGGTACTGACTCTGAGTCCTCCTATCTAGCTCTCGGTCACCTGCCCTGGTGCGTACTGGGACACCAAAGCCCAGTGGCATGATACTGCATTCGTCCACCTTGAATAACTCAAGGACAGACAGGCTCTGAGTCCCCCTGTGCTGTGACTACCAGGACGGCCTGCCCTGCATAGGGAGGCCCTGGCTGGGTCTGGGCATGTTTTGAAGGGACCTGTGATCCTGGGTCACTGAGTCCATGGGACACCTTGATAAAGGCTCCAGCTGGAACAGAGCTTCCCTGGAAGCCTGGAGCCCTGACCCCAGTGCCACCTGTCTTCTCTGCAGGCATGGGAAGGGTAAGGAGCATGGCTGCTGTGGGAGAGCAGGGGGATGCACGTCCACTACAGCCAGGCTGCACGCACACCCTCTTGCTTAATTCCCAGTGCTCAGGGAGCACACAGGCAGTCGGGGTTAGGGTCACACTTCTAAGCGCCCAGGGTAAAGCTGCCAGGCCCCCCCAAGAGGCGCTGCTAGACCTGAGTCAGCACCGTAGGCCCTTCCCACACACCAGCCACTGTGTCGCACCTTGCCTCGGCTGGGCTGACTCCCAAAGAGCTGCCTTCTCAACTCTCTGACCTCTGAACCTGGCCC